ATTACAAGGGTTTTTAGGCAATTGCCCCCCCTAAAAATTTTAAAATACTATGGTCTTTACGTACTTGCCCCCAACAGGTCGAACCCCGATAGGGGACACTGCCCCCTTGGACCCCCGACATATATGTCTTATAAATTTGCCCCCCCTGAAAATTAGGGCTGGTTCCGCCCCTGCTGCTAAACTATTTTTATCAGCACTCAACCTGATCACCTTCGTCAGGTCATTCATTATTCTCCTCCAGTTATCATTGTTGCCTACTACTCTCAATAGAGTACAACTCAACCACTGCCAGCATCGCCCATTCGCCTGATGTCTGCCATCAGGCCTTCACCTCTTATCAGCCATCATCAGCCTCTCGCTCGACTGCTATTAGTAGCATACCCTCAAATTGTCTCTTTCAACTCACCACCCTGCCACCGACTGACGCCGGAGTTCTACCTTACAACCAATCGCCACCTAACTTCCACCAAGACGCAACAAACTCATCTCGATTATATTGAAATTGATTATGATTTTATTTATGATTATTCCCAGGCCAAAGAATTTGTTGTGCATTATATTTCACCTTCAAATAAAGTGGCTGATATATTTAGTAAAGACAAAGACAAACAAGTGTTGCTACACTTTAAGTAAACAAAAAAAATCTATTTAGGTTTTTTCTTAACTGACCCAATTTGTTTTGCTAAAAAAAAAAAGGTATCCACCTAAGCAAATGATAGAATGGCCTAATTTTTTCCCCCTTTTTTTATTAAAAAAAAATAAAGATAAATCTTGATTTCCATCAAGCAATAATTTCTAATAGTGACAATGACCCTATGAGCAATAATTTCAATGTAGTTGTTCCTAATTTGAATTCCATGCCGAGTCTTCTTAGTGGACTCTGTTATCTTTAGCTATTTCAGGGAATCTCCTCTAGGGGTGTAAGTGAGTCGAGTCAGTGTTAACTAATAAGTTCATGAGTTTAGTTTATCGAACCACGAGTTCGAGTTCGAGTTTATACTCGAGCTCGTACATAAAACGAGCTTAAGCTCGAGCTCAAATTATATCGGCTTGAAAGCTTTTTGAGCTATTCGATTAAGTTAAAATATATTTTAAAAATTCATTTAAATAAACATTATATAATATTTAAACTTTTAAATTAATTATGTATTAAAAATTTTCCAAAAAAATTTTAAAACTAAGAGTCGAGTCAAGCATGATGCTTATTAAACAAACTTAAGAAGAACTAAATATTTTTAGCTCGATTAATCAGATGTCCAACTTAACTCAACTCGATCCGACTCGAATCAACTTGACTCAACTCAACTCATTTACCTCCTAATCGACCGTTACTTACAAGAGGAGTTGAATTTAATTTGCCAAATCGATTTCAAAGCACAGCGCATGATGCTTATGCATTAATTATTTAATGGCTGCAGTTAATTTTAAGAGGTCCAATGCATGTATTGCGTAGTTGAGTATGAGCAAGACGCTACTGTCAGATGATAGCGACTAAATACCACACGAATCCGTCACTTATTATCAGATGATGTTAACCGGGCTTTTTTATTTTTAATTTTTTAAATATTTAGGTTAATTAAGACAGATTCATACACGCATCAGATATATAAGATTCGAACTCAAGACCTCTTAATTGATAGCCTAAGCTTCCAATGACCAAGGTGAGTCGTGTGCTTTTTAAATTCCATATCGGTATTTTTTTAGAATTTGTTTGGGATGATTTTTTTTAAAATAATTTTTAATTAAACGTTTTTATATTTTATTTATAAAGTTGCTTTAAAAGTAGTAAAAAATCATCTCATATAAGAAAAATTATTACGTGCAGAGTTTAAATTGTTCGGATTTATGAGGATACATAGTAAATACACAAATTTTTTTATGTATTTACTATATATTTGTTATATACCATCACAAAATTTTGATGCAATTTGCATGTAAAAATTAAGTTTTGGTGATTTCAGTTTTAATGTTCAGCTAGGTCAAAATTTTTTTTTATTTTTTTAAACTTTTGTTATGAGCTGGAATATCGCATCAGTAGAAGGGAGATTTATTAATTTAGTTTTATGGGGTGGTTCACAGGAAAGTGGACATGTAATATATATGAAATAAGATTTTTTTTTTTTTTTTTTTTTTTTAAAAAAATAAAAACGATATGAGCATAATTTTAAAGTATATAATGTCCTCATTTTTTTTTTTTTTTTGAAATTGAGGCAAAATATTATAATATAAAATATTTAAATTATAATGAATGCTTGTTATGATGGTATTAAATGCTCTTTGAAAGTTTTGATATGAATGATGTGTTGTATGATGGTCGGGATGAGTCATTGATTAGAGACACTTGGGCCAATTCTTCTTTTAGAAGATAGTTGGGTTACTTAACGTGTATAAATAACTGGAGTTAGTGGGGAGTCCCTCTCCAAGGAGCAATTATTACGTCCGGTCAAATCCGAACATATCTGAATGTATACCGAACAATACTGAATGCTCAGTACCGAGTTTCGGGTGATGTGGCGCGTGGTTATTTGTCTATGAACGCGTTCGGTCGACCGAACGTAATAATTGCTCCTCTCCAAGAAAGTAGATAAATTGAGTCCAAAGTTGAGATAGGATTGGAAGCTTCTTGGTGGTCTTCCTCATGAAATAGGGGTGGCTTGACATGAATGTATAGACAATAACCTATCTAAATATTGGTGAAATTAGAAGACATAATCCGCAAGACAACGATGATTGGAGGACTATAGTTGGGTGGAAACAATAAATGATCGAAGTTAGGCAATAATGGTCTAAAGGTCATAATTGGGCAACTATGATCGGAAGAATGAACGATGGTTAAGGGAATATAGTCGATCTATGAGAATCAAAGGATTGGACTCAGGTAATGATGGTTTAAGGAGCATAGTTGGATGATTACAGTTAGAGGAGCTCAATTGGGTGATGGTAGTCAGGTACTAACCATAATAAGATGACGGGGTCAAATGATAGTAGTATGACGATAATGGCCTGAGGACTATAGTCTAATAATGATGGTCGAGATACCGTAGTTGGGCAATGGCACTCGAGTGACACTAGTTGGCGATGGCTGTTGGAGAACAAAAGTTGGGCTACATGGGTTGGAGATCTTACTTGGGCAACATTCATTGAAGGGTCGTAGTTGGACAACAATGGTATAAAGTCTATAATCAATGGATGGTAGTCCTAGTACTCACCAATTTCAAATCAATTTACAAGATCAAGTTTTATCTTTGGTTATCCATTTCATATAAAAAGTGGGGGTTATTTTAGTTTTTGATAGTGACACACTTTGCTTATATAGTTGATATTTGAAACTCCCAATTATACAACTCTATTATTTCCTTAATTATAAAATTCTTTTAGCAGTTTGGTGTCTTAATGACAACAAAATTAAAGTATCTTAGGCTCGTTGGATTTTTCTCGTTGAGACATTCAATTTGACTATAAACATGCAATATTTGAAGATTATTTTGTTATCCAACCAATATCTCAAAAATTTTAATTTTTTATATACATAGAAATTGACTACAAATTGAGAATTGGGACTACCCACCGATGCTTAGCTTGGTTGGTGGGTGTGCTCAGATGGGAATCCCCCATCCCGAGTTCGATTTCTCTCGAGCGGCAGCGCCCTTCAGTGGGGGCCCCTAAGCGCCGGCTACAGGTACAGTGATGTGGGTGGTCCGGTAGAAAGGCTTATGCAGTGCACCTAAAAATAAGAATTTTGAGCTTCAACTACGAAAGCTACTATTAATACTACAAGTCAAAGTTACTACTCCGAATCATTGACCATAATCGAATTAGTCTTGATGAGATTCCAAACTTGTCACATAGAGCCGGCAAATCCACACGATTATCCAGCTTTGGAATTCAGCTGGGAGTCCAAAAGCTCAGTAAGCCGGCCGGGCACCCGGGCAGTACCCGGGCAGCGATGGCAGGGGATTGGAGATGACCATTCGGATATTAAGCCAAGCATCATTAGACAACTACACTAAGTTTATTTAGTGATTAAGTTATTGTTTAAGAAGGCTACCGCCCCCTTAAATACTATATATGACACGTAAGCAGGTTCCTTTTTTGTTTTGCCTGGTGTCCTATTTATTTTCGAAAAAAAATTTATGGAAAAAATATTCAAATATATTTTATATTAAGACATGATTTAAAATTTCTTCAATTTATATTAAGATATGAAAAAGTAATCTTGTAAATAACATTAATTTCAAAGCAAATTCGGTTAAAATATTCTAATGTAATTTTTCTAGGTTTTTTTGGCTAAGATTAAAGGCGTCTCCAGCCGAACTCCAAATGATTGTAAGGCGTGGTTGGTTTTTTCCATTTGAAAGAAAAAAAAATTGCTAATTGGTGGAGGGTGAACAATGCGATGCCAATATTGGCGTTGCACTGTTCACCTACGTAATTTTTCTATCTCAACCGAATTTGCCGAAGAAATGCGCGATAGAGAAGCAAGACCGTTACCTTCGCAAAAGCATGCAAAACGGAGTTCGATTGAAGATGAATCACAACTTTTTTTAGTTTCACTGCATTTTGAAGTGAAAAAAAATGAGATTTTCGGTTGGAGATGCTCTAAGAATTCGTTTGTCACCGCTACACCTATTGATAATGCGATTGTAAAGCTACTGCGAAAAAAGTAAGCTTTTTTAAAGTTGTCTTAGAAAAAAACTTCTTAACTCAAAATTTCTCAAAAGTAGTGAAAAAAAAATAGTTGTCAAGAAGAAACTATGGTTGCGGTCTAAAAAACAAAATAGAAATAAAGTTGTTTCATACAAAGCCTAAGGATTCGTTTGGAATAGCTTTCTTACTGCTTCTAAAAGTAGTTTTCTAGCATAAAAATTAAAATTTTGTACTAGAAATTAAATTAAAATTTTGGTGCTGAAAAATTACTTTACGTACACTACTAAAAATATGAAGTTTTCGCAGCAGTTTTTAGTAGCGGTTTCAAAACCGCTGCTATGATTGATATATGCAGCATTTTTAACCGCTGCTAAAAAAATATTAAAATTTTTAATAATTTATCAGCGATTTAAATAAAGGCAGTTTGCCAACCGCTGCCATACCTTCCATTCCCCTTTTATGTCCCTCGCATGCCCTAGCTCCCGCTCCACTTTCTCCCGCGTCCGTCTCCCAAATGATCTGCCAAATGATCTTCTCATAGCCGTTCTCCAAGGTAAGCATTCCACTTCCACTGTACTTTTCTCAATGCACTAGTTTTCCTGTTGGCTGCGAGTAATTAGCGGTTGCTTCAACTCCGAGAAAGCCGAAGAAGATCTGATGGCGATCTCATCTTCTGCTAGGGTTTTGGAGAGGAAACTTGTGGTAGTAGGCTGCACCATTCTGTCTTCTGTGTCGGGAAATTTGATTTCAAGCTCTGTAGTTAGCTCCAGTCCCGTCGAAGTCTTCTTTCTTGCAGCCCAACTCTTTGATCTCAGCTCTCGCCATGTCCTATCTCCTGGAATCCTCAGGTTTCAGTTCTTTGGCTTTCCCCTAAATTTGCTATTTTGGGTGTTTCAAATTAGGTCAATTTTGTTTATTGGAGATGGTGTTTTGTTGTTTTGTAAATCATAACAAGCTTAAGTTTGTTAAGTAGCTTTTAAAAAATTTGAGAACAATGCTTATTTTATTTTGCTTATTTCTGGAGCAGATTGGCAAGGAGCATTTGACTCCGCTCTTCTCGTGAAGCACAAGGTGGAGAAGAAAAAGTAAGTAGAGTGGGAGTGGCGGCTCACTTGTATTTGGCTTGTGCTTTATCCATGGCATTGTTTTAGCTTGATGGGGTTTTTATTATTTCTTCTTGATTTGCTTAGGTGTGTCTTCAACTAATAAATATACATTTTTTTTGGAAAATTTTAATTTAAATTGTATATTTTAATCTCATAAATTATGACCCAAGAGTTCAACTTCCCTTAATACAAGGGCAGAATTAAGAAAGCTCGGGATGAGCTATTATCGACCCTAATCTTTTTTTAGTAACATTGTATTTTAATTATCTTATTCTCTTCATAAATGCATTTGCCCAGAATTCTAGCACAAATAATTTAATGTCATAGCTTTGTACGAAGATCCAACACAAAGAGCTAAATAAGAGAGTGGTGTGTAGCATTCATAAGAAATAACATGATTTTTATATGAAAACCTATGAAAAAGGTAGAAAAAAACACGGGGCTTTGCCCAATTTGAATGAATTCACTAGTGCTTGTAGTTGAATAAAAATGATAATCTTCCTTAGGGAAGGTATTGGTTCAATAAATATACATTATTTAGAACATTTTACATGACTGGGGATGGAAAACCCAAATGTCATGAGAGTTGTTCTTAAAAGAGTGATAGCATGTTAATTTGGTTAATAGGACTGTGTTTGGGCGACAAAGGTTAAAGGGATCTTAGCTAGACAATAGTGATCATAAGAATCATAGTTGGGTTGTAGTGGTCAGTTGGGCCAAAATCGGGCGACAAAGGTTGAATGAACCATACTCGGCAGGCAAAAGTGATCGAAGGAACATAATCAATTGGCAACAATGGTTGGAAGGATCGATCATAGTCGGGCAACGGTGGTCGGATGAATCATAATCGACGGACGCTTAAAGTTAAAAGGACTGTTATCAGATGACAATGGTCAAATGACCAAAATCAGTCAACAGTGGTTGAAGAACCAAAGTTGACAGTGACAATAGTGGGATGAAGACTTGTCTGTGGTTTCCATATGGATGTCCGATGACGATGGTTAGCCAAAGGTCCAACAACAATAGCCTAGTGGTGTGGATTTGTCGGCGGTGGTGCCTGGGTGGACCTCCTGAATTCTTCAAGCCATAAAGCTATTATATTCTTCATTCTCCTTTTCTCGTTCCTTTCATATGAAGAGTAAGGGTATATTTATAGTTGTTTAGAAGTGTCATGCTCAGTAAATATGAAGAAGATTCAGGGCAATTTCAGAGTGATCCATCAGAAGGCTGATATCAATTCCCTCGATTATAGAGCAGTCTTTAAAGTTTATATGTTTGAATGATGCCAGAATCAAATGATATTGATCTTGTTGAATTCGTTTCGTTGAGCTACTTGATTCAACTATAAGCATGTTATGTTCGTATATCATTTGATCATCCAATTAATGTTCATAATCTTTTAAGAATGTTTTGATCCTTTGAGGGCTCCGATTGAACAGAATTTTGTGGCATCAAATTCCTCTTCTTGAGATGTTCAATTTGACTATAAACTTTCTGAAATTTGTGTTTGGATGGTACCAAAATTAATTTTGAAAGTTTCTAATTCATATTGTATCAAGATTCATGCTCGATCAAAGAGATTTTTGCTACGTATCACTAACTTTGATCACCAGCGATCATGATAGGTGTTAGTGGGAATAATTAGTGGTGGTTAATGGAGCTCTATTTGTAGGCTTTTTTGGATGGACATTTTGGTAATTTGAATTGGGATTCAAAACACTTTATTGTATGGCTTTTATTTATTCTTTTAAAAAATAATTATTTATTCAACATCTAAGTGCATTAATGGTGACGTAATTGAGTTATATTGGGCTCATTAGATTCATTTTGTAGAGCCACTCAGTTCGACTATATGCATGTCTAATTTAAAAGATCATTTGATTTTTCAATTAATGCTCTAAAGCTTCCAAAAATATTTAAGACTTTGATTTGAAAACATTGGGATTCGAATTGGATTGATTTTGGAGTCATTGGGTTCCGCTTGCCAATACGTTCAGTTTGACTATAAATTTGCTAAGATTGTTAAGATTGGAGTTCAGATGACCCTAAATTTAATTTTAAAAGTTTTCAAATCAATTATGCCATGAGATTTGTATCTAATTAAGATGATTTTTTATCAAATATCAATAATTAAGTGAGAATTTGACTCTTAATACAATAAATTTTAAAAAATAATCTTTGCAATTGGGATTAAAATTTATGATTGATCATATTTTTTAAATAATAAAAAGGCAAGACGAGCCTGAGGGCACCGAAAGAAAAAAAAAAACATAATATACTAATAAAAAAATAATTATAATAATATTTAAAAACCTTTTGACTGTTCTTTCCAAAAAAAAAAAAGATATTCTTATTCAATCTTTTCCCGCACCGAAACCCATGCTCCTTCCCCGCTTCTTCCCTCGTAAGTATTTTAATTAATTTTCCCCAAAAAAAAGTATTTTAATTAATTAATTTATTTTTTTTTGGGAAAATTTTATTTATTTATATATAAAAAAAATTTACGAGGTGATTTTTTTTGGGACATTTAAGGCCAAAAAAAAAATCAATTGGAGCATGGGGGCGGGTGGTAGGGACCACAGTCCAACAGAATATTGATACGTGGCGGCATCTTCTAATATGATTGGTCATTTGGGCGGGAGTTGCGTTGCTCTCTCTCTTTAGTATTCCAATAATTCACTCATCGCTTTGGAAATCGAATTGACCGGGTTCAGTTCCGGTTCGGCTCGGTTCGAGTTGGCTTAACTCGAGCGTTACATTGAGCTTATCAGAACGAGCAACAGTAACGGTAATGGCGTCAAATCCCGTGGTGGTGCGTAGGCCCCACCGTTGATCAGCCGGCCAGCCGGCCCTGAAAGCATCGGGAGGCTTCACTGCTTCAGCGTGACAGGGACGGCGGGGTCCTCCCTCGTGCGGTGCTGGAGCCGTGGGACCCACATTAGGATTTTACGATCATTATTTTTACGAATATTGGCGTACAAATGGACGGGGGAGCTGTCGCGCTGCATTTAAATATGATTTTTTTAATTTTTTTTAGATAGGATAGTAGTTTCTTTATGATTTCAGTTCATGCCCTTTTTTTAAGTTTCATTCTTTTTCACAAAAACTTTATTGATTTTTAATAAATTTTTATATTTCTTATATCACCATAAATATAATTTTTAATTAGAATATACTAACTTTATCACATAGCTTTTTGATTTCATACCAAGTTTTATCTTTTAATAAAATTTAAGAGATTTACATACATAGGATGAATATTTTCTTAATAAAATTAAGGGAATTTAGATATATTTATCTATATCATATGTAAATTTTTATATTTATTTATACAATATCAAAATATTATCAGGCTTGAGTTACTCTGTTTGCAATTCATTTTCATGCAGAAAATTAAACAAAACAAAGAAAATAATTATCTATTAATGATAAAAGATCTTCTAGTTGTCGACGCTCAAAGTCTTTGAGACTTTTTTACAAGCATGAGTTAGATATCTGTATGGCCTAGGTTTAACATACACTTTAAGGATATATAGTTTGTTGAATACCAACTATTGGATAATGCATCAAACTTTTTTGGAACAATATTTTCTGTATGAAAGTGTTGGCATTATGCACCTCATGATCTATTGTTGTGATTTTGATAATAATAAACATATATTTGGATGTTCTAATTTGTGTGCTATGTATTTTAGACATTGGTTTGATGAATGTGCAAGATAATTGCCTTTATGAGATGTATATTTTATAACCCAAGTTCAATCTCTAAAGGAAATGCAATCGTTTCCAGCGAATATGTCCACCCAAAACTATGAAGATCAGCCTGAAATTGATGTTTCAGATGGATTTTTGTTGGAAAATAATCCAACAAAAAATTGAGCGTTAGAAACGAATTAGTGACAAAATATTTCGGTTAGAAATTGGTGGATTTTGGAATGGAAAAAATAAAGTTTTTTGGAGGAATGCCAAAGGATTTTTTCATTGGAATTCTCGACAAAATTCTTTGCATAAATTTTTAGTGAAATATGTGGAAGAATTCGCCAAAAATTCTCGAAAAAAATATCGTCAGTATCTCAATTCAAAATTCGTTGTACAAATCTCCCGACAAAAATTCAGTCAAAAATCTAAACTTATAGTGTAGATAAAAAATAATATTCTTTTAAGTGTTTTACAATATAACATGAAATAAATAGCAAACATTTAAGATAATTAAGCTTGACTAATATTTCAACATTGCACAAAAATATTAATAAAATATTATTTACACTATACTCAAACTATGGTCAATATAAAAAACATTGGAAATTAAATTTAAAATATTTTGATACCCAAAAATTACATATAATACATCATTTTCTTTAGAATTTTATCCTATTTATTTTACAATTAAAATTATATTTAAATATCATATATATTTTAAATTATTTAATTTACTTTATTTTAAGTATTTAATTAGTATTTAAATTAATATTATATAAAATTTTTTTATAAAAAATTAATATTTCTTTTATTAATTCATTTTAAATAATTAAATAATTATTTTTAATATATTGGTTTAAAATTAAACTCATTTATGACATGTTTAATATTATTTAATAAATTTTAATCATTTAAACAATTAAATAATTAATTAATATTAATATTTTAATTACTTTTAAATATAATAATAATAATACTTACTTATTTATTTTTATTTCTAAAAAAGTGAAAACTTTTATTATTATTTAATTTCAAAAATTATGCTTAATATTATTATTCTAAGAAATTTTTAAATTATTTAATTAATTAAAAATTTAAATTATTAATTATTAATTAATTAACTACTTTCCAAAATTCATAAAAATTATTTTTTCTAAATTATTTTAAAATATCAGAGAATTATTTTAATTATTTAAATTTAAATTAATAATAATTTTGGTATTTTAAATTTAAAATTCAATTACTTTCTAAAATTTATAAAAAAATTGTTTTTATTAAATTATCTTTAAATTATAGA